CAATAGTTAGGAAATAAAAAAAAAAAACAAAGAAAAAAAAAAAACAGAGCTAAAGGGAAAACGTGAAGTGCACAAAATGGATCATTTGGCGTGTTTCATTGTTGGTTTGCTTGCTCTCGAAGCCTTTAACGAAAACGATGTGAAGAGACGCAGTGATACGATAAAGCTTGCGGAAGAAATTGCCAATACATGTCATGAGTCATACATAAGAACTGGTAATGTTTTTGTTTCCCTTGGTCTGTTTGAGACAACTGTGCTTTAAAATTTGGATCGCTGCGAAATAGCTCGATTCCAATTGTTTGATATAATTAAATTACAGCCACCGGTATTGGTCCTGAATCGTTTCGATTCACAGATGAAGTGGAGGTGATGGCGATAAAGGATAGCGAAAAATACTACATTCTTCGACCTGAAGTTAGAATTACTTTTTTCCTCTCTTGTGATCTAATTAAAACACACATTCGGGAAAAATCATTTGGCAAATATTTTAGAAGCATTTTTTTTTTTAAATGAATTGGTTTTAGGCGATTGAGGGATGGTTTTATCTATGGCGTGTAACAGGAAAGGACAAATACAGGGAGTGGTGTTGGATGGCTGCCAAAAATATTGAGAAATACTGTCGAACAGCCGGAGGGTGAGTTCCTAATTAGTACCAACAGCATATTTTAAGGACTTAGTAATACTAAATATGTTATAGAGATTCGAAAAGTTTTTTACTCCCCGTCTACTTTTTGTGTATCTGTGGGATGCTCTACAAAAATTCAAGAAATAAATTATAATGTAAAAAGCTATCCCTTTCATCAGATTATTTTGTCAATTCTTATTGCGCGCTTGCTTCCTGAAGTAGCCAAAGACTGGAATCGGAAGCCAAAATTTAAGTAATTTATTAATTTTTTTAGCTTGTAAATGCTTTAAATAGTATTGACTTTTTTGATTCGGGAAGTCAGTGTTCCGGATTTTTTCAGATACTCCGGGATAAAAAATGTGTACAACTCAGACGTAGTACATGATGATGTACAGCAGAGTTTTTTATTTGCAGAAACATTCAAGTATTTATACCTCACTTTCTCGAACGACAGTATCATGCCTTTGAATAAATGGGTATTTAATACCGAAGCTCATGCTTTCCCAATAGTCTCACAAACCGAGTTCTAATATTTTTGAATTATAGGTGTAACTCATGAAGTCCTTCTGTTATTTAAAGATATTGTTGGCAAGAAAACTTTATTTCTTTTTCTTAAATTCCAGTGATGAAAGTTGTGATTTTTCAGGAAAATACTGGCCCTACTACTCTTTAGCTGCATATTTCCTTTTCCTTTCGCATATTATTAATACATTGAGGTTGTCAAATCTTATATGCCTGTTTTAAGAACCTTTTGCTCAATCATGTTGATTAGATTTCGATTATTCAATAAAGAGTGATAAAAGAGTTCCGAAATAGGCTTCTACGATAAGAAGGATGTGCGATCGAAATTCAAACAGACTTCGACTTCAACATGAAATTATTTTTTGTTGCATGACATACAGTGTTTTGGTCTGTACGTATGTCATAAAGCTAGCGTAATTATATATGTAACTTCCCACTAACTCACTAAATATGTCATATGCTGATTTAACAAGAACATCAGCGAAATTATATCTCCAATCATTTTCGGAACTCTAACTTTTACGAAATTGCTCAGAAAAGAGCCCTCCCACCCATAACCACTTTCCACTTCATTCCAAGTCAGTTCATAACTGAAGTCAAATCCCCCTACTCGTTCGTGCTTTCCTACTCAAAAATATTCAGCGTATAATGTATCCAAAAAATGATTTTTGGGAAATGATTTCAATGAAGTCGAGTCTTTTCAAAGTTTATGCTTTATTTGTGACAAGGAGTATACCAGTTCGACATACAAGGATGAGGACATTACAGCATGGACAAGGTTTCCTGGAAAATTAGGCCGTTTCTATAGATTGTGTCTCTGGCGCAAATGTCTCCCAGCACTTGAGGAGCTTTTTCTGCGTTTCAAGGAGTTCTTGAAGGTATTGCTTAAACATGTCGTTCATGTCACTTTTACGCTCCATCAAAAACGTTTCGTATTCCCCGCGAATAACTTTGCTTACTTCAGAGAATTCTTTCTCCACTTCATCCACTGCTTTTTCCGCCTGGACTTGATAATGAAGTAATACAAGATAATGAAACACCGAAGAGACTAACTAGAGTAATTAGAGTTATCTGAATATTTACCGTTTCGACATGTTTCGATATGCAAGCTATGTTGTGTTCACACCCCACTTCGAATATAGCCGTGGACAAGCGTCAAAGAATCCTCATGGAACCAATCATCATCCGAACTTTTCAGCCAGCCTAATTATGCACTCTGCTATCCGCATTTAAACACAAGGCTATAAAAATTGCAGAAAGAGCGATACCCACTCACAAATGACTATCATGCAAGAAGAGAAACATACGCTGTTGATTTCGTCTACGATTTGATTAGCTTTATCGGTCCGACCAGAAAGTTCATGACGAGCTTTCATTTCTCGTTTCCTTGTAAGATTTTGTTGCGCACCTTGCCAATTCTGCCAAATTTTAACACGCTCGAAAAAAAGTTCCTGAAAATCTCTTTATGAAATGGAAATCAGACAGGAAGCAGTAAAGAAATATGCAATAAACAGCCATTCACAGTAGTATTAAACAAATAATGACATTTAGGGAAGCAAGTATCAGAGAAGTGGATAGATTTCTAGAGGACATTAATTGGGCTCCAGCAGTCGAAAAGAGATGACCAAGGACAGGAGAATGGAAGTGAGAATTGGAAGATGGCACACTCGAAATTAATCCTTTTTATCCTTGAGTGTTACATCCAACGAAAATTTATGTACAGCTTCAATTTAAAACTAGAAACAAGTTCCAGTCACGCTGTCTAGATCTGATACACAACGTACTTTTAGTGTGCAGATGACTTGCAGCTGTTCATTGATCCCTTCAGCGAGCAATGCACAATCTTTGTCCGATTGCATACCATGCAACTGATCAATATTCTCGTATGTTTCGGTTAGATGCGACAAACACCGTGCAAGACTCGTATTTTCTTCGCATGAAGAAAGCATTGAAAGTGCTTTCGAAAATGAATCTGTTCCAGAAATTAGTTCACGACGGTATGAACTCAATGATTCAACTGCTCGAAGCAGTTTACCCAAGTTCTGTTCCATATCTTCCATCTAAATTAGTTTAAATGTGACAGTGAGATGATATAGAAATCATGAAGAACGAGAAAGAGCCAGTCAAATTAACGAGAGGAAAAACAAAGTAAAACGATTTGTTTAAATATAAAAACAAAAATTCACTTGCTGTTGTGCAGCTTCAAACCAACGATCATTTTCGTCCATATGGAAAGCCATTTTCGAAAAAACATCACCAACAGTTTTGAACATCCGCTTAACTCCAGCACCACTTAAAGCCACAGTTGAATTAGCTTTAGGTAATGAAGCAGTCATTGTTAAAAAATCACGGAAGTCACAATCGAACACCAATTTTGGATGGCGTGCTATGCGTCTGCAGAATCTCTGAAGACCTCTAGCTCGACGTTCAGCGAATTCACTGGAAAAAGCGGTTTTACATTGCAAATTTAAAGTTATTGCCCCACCCTTCATTAGTAGCACACTTCATGTATTTTACTCTAAAATCAACTAACTTAGTGTTGTCGTCCACGGATGTATTCATTTTTGTCCGTGTAAGAGCAGCAATACTTTTTTCAGGTGCTGCCGGCACTAAATAACCTTTGTAGAAATATTTGTCCACTAATTTTTCATGAAGGCCAAGGAAATCACTAAATCGCCTCCAGACAACGTATTCCCGATCTATGTAACCTTGCATGTTCTGCGTCTGCAAGTAGTAAAGATTATCGACTAAATTAAATACGAGGAGTATTTCGAACCAGTCAAATTTTAATTTTAAACAAGAGAGTTCCGCACTTACTATTGTCGCAACTTTATAGACAATATACGCGTTCATCCCTTCTCCTTTCTTCTCGAACTGTTTAATGACAATTTCAATCTGTGATTCTAAATAATGAGAAGGCGCGGGTGGATCATTTACGTTTGGATTGTTTATAAACGAAAGTTTGGTAGGGACACTGGGCTGGGGCAGATCGTCGTCTAGGTGCAAATCGACTGCGATCATACCATCCGTGTCCTGAAGAAGTATCTTCCGAAGCATCTGATAAAGATGATATATTATGCAATGAGATAAAGATATGAACAAAGGCTTCAAAAAAAAAATATTATTGTTGAATTTGAACCAGTATCACCGAATTTACCATTAGCATTACTGAATGGAAATTTTCGAGTGTTTTGTGTATCTGTGCTTGGAATTACAAGTGAAATAGAAACTTGATACAATCAAATAAAAGCTGAGATTCACCTCTGTCATTTAGAAGTAACAAATGAAGCACTCTGAATGGATTAAAAGCTCTGGAAACTAAATTACCTTCAAGGAAGCGATATCTTCAGGATCGTTAAGAGTATCATTCCCAGCGATCATTCCCTTCGACTGCAACTGCAAAGTATAAAGCTAATAGACTCAGAACGGCCTTTAACCCTTATAATCTAAATATCTCCTCCCCCGTTCCTCCAAATCCTGGACAGTAGCAATTCCATGTTTCAGTGTAATGTGAGCACAATAATCTCACGCTTCCCACCGTTAAATCTAAACTAGCATTCCGCGTCCCTTCGATTTTTGTTCGACCATCAGAAACTAAACTACGGAACTGAACTCATATTTTACATCTTTCTGCGCCTATACAAATACACACACACACACACACACACACACACACACACACACACACACACACACACACACACACACACACACACACACACACACACACACACACACACA